TTCTTGTATGTTGTCCTCATTTTTAATTGTTATTCTTCCATTCTTTCTGGTTGCTTGGACTAAATAAGCGATTTACTCTTCAAAGTCAAAAGTTCTTTCTTCTGAGGAACCAGCAGTTAGCATAATGGCTATGTCGCTGGACTCCCACGTAGTCAACCGCGGTTCGCGTCCCGGACCCGGTGGCTTAAAACTAAAGCCTAGCACGTGTGCGTGCGTGCCCAAGATCCTGATAGGAGAATGGAGGAGAAGGGATTACAGCGTGACCATCCCCCCTGGGGGGGTGATTTCTTGCTTTCTGTCTCTATGTCTCTGTCTGTCTGGCGAGCACACGTGCCCTATAGTGAAAACCTCTCAAAAAAAAAAAAAAGTTCTTTCTTCTACATGAACTAATCTGCTATTGATAATTTGCTACAGAGGTTTTTATTTCTTAAAGTGCATTCTTTATCTCCAGAAATCCTGTTTGATTCTTTTTCAGGATATCCCTCTCTTTATGGAGTTCCTCTTCCAAGTCATGGAAGGATTGATTGGTTGTCTGTTTCTTCTTATGTCTCATTGAATTTTGTTATGGTGAATATTCTGATTTTTTTCCTGATATTTCTGTGAGCTCATGTGTTTTATCCATTGTTGGTGAGGAGTTATTATGTTCCTTTGGGGTTATTTTCTAATTTTCTCCTATTTCCTGAGACCCTGCTTTGATTTTTAGTCATCTGGTGATATACTTCCTTCTTCCTATTCCTTTGGAGTATGTTTCTATAGGTGTGTGTGCTTGCACTTCCCTATGGTGTGAGTTAGCTCTGTGCCAATTTCCTTCTTCTACTGTGAGTGGGAATGTGGAATCCACAGTGGGAGCTTTGGGCTCAGGTTTTCAGAGGGGATTTTTCTCTCCTTTTATTGCTGGGGTAGTTGTGAAAAAAGAATTCTCCCAAAACTTCACTGTCTTTAGGTCAGCTTAGGCCAGATGACCTTTGCTTCCCTGTTGCTCTTTCTATCTCTGGGACTACAGGAACCAGGTGGTGGTTCTTGAAGGTCAGAGCTGTCCCTCTTCTTCCACTGGAGGCTGGGCAGGAGTCTTTGTTGATCAGCTCAGGCCAGGCGGCTTATATTTTCCTTTGCTTCCCCAATCTCTGGTATTCTTTTGCTTTGACTTATTACAGATGTATAATCTTCTGGATGAGTGAATAATAGAATGAGAATTCTGGATTATTCCTCTTCCTAAATTGTAATTTCCAGACTTAGTAACATACATTTTATTATTATTCCTTTGCATGTAAGCCTAGAAAAGCTGACCATGTGTCAGTGTGCACATGCATATATGTGTGTTGTTTGTGTATGTGTGTGTGCATGTGGTGTATGTATCTGGGATATATATCTATAGCTGTATCTATCTATATCTATCTATCTATATCTATATCTATCTATCTATCTATCTATCTATCTATCGAAAATGGAGTGTGAAGATTAATTTTATTCAAAGGTTGGCATACAAGATTTATGATGGGCCCCCCCCCCTTGGGGCTCAGCCTGCCATTTGTTTATACGAAATATTTATTGTCTCCCACATTCCAGAACTCTCCCAGTTTCTGGGGTTACAGTTACTTAAATCCTGGCCCCTCAAATTATTATTCCACTACTATCTATGGGAGCAAAGACTTTGAGCATTATTCACTATAATACACATTTATTCTTTACTTGATACCCAAACAATGAGATAATCCTTATTTAAATGTTTCTTAGAATTTTCATTTGCAAGTGCTTTTTCCATATAACATTCCTGTATGTGGAGATTTTAGTTTTATGAGGAGTGAGGACTTTACTTATGCAGATTTTCTTCATAAATTTGGAGTCACTGATGAAGTGGGAAGGGTGGAAGATTTATTGGGTGACACAAAGATATACACAACATCTTTGGAAGTTGCCAAAATCAACATGAACAAGATGTTTGCTATCATAGCTTTCAGAATTTGGATCCATGTAAGTATTGTGGTTATGTCTAGGACCAAGAGGCGCTGATTTTTATTTTACTATAATATTGCAGTTTGTGCCATTGGCAGCAGAACTTATCATACTATTCTTTTGGCAAGATAAAACAAAGTCTGGTTCTACTTCATTCTGCAGTTGGGTTGTCTATAGATCTGGAGTGGATTAACTTACTTGGAGGGAATCTAGGACCAAGGAGACTTAGTTTCAGTTCTGATTCTCAATTAGAAATCAGTCACTTTCATAGGTAAGTAATGAGTCCATCAGAAGACATGGAAAGGACGTGAGAACTTGGTTTCTCCCATCACCTCTTCAAAGGTATATCCAACGTATGTTATACAATGACTTTATTAGTGTGGTTCCTAAAGTTTTAATGAAGTGGAGCTTGGAAGTATAGCAGAGTAATACCTACTAAAATCCAGGTTCATTGGTAACTTCAAACACAGCAGGTGAGCAAGCCTGGCTCCAAGGGCTACCTTCCCTGATTCTTTTTGAGATGAGGAACCCACCCTGGTGCTCACATTGCCAGAGCTAGTTCACTCTCTATCAGAATATGAATTACTAGTTAGCGTCTGGCTCTCCCACACTGGATGGACTGTGTGAATCAAATCCCTTTACAAGGAAGAGAGAGTGAGGAGTCTGCTCAGAAAGTATACCTCTAGTCTCTGCTTTTCCAAATGTTACCCAAAGTTGTGGACAAGTCCTCAGGCATGGTTTTTCTCAAGACCTTACAGTTTTTGCAATTGTCTGGGGTTGAGAAAATGGCATTACTCAGCTGTAGTCAGCTTCTTGCCAAGACCTTCCATAAAATGCATAATAAAGTAGCATTTTAAAGATGAAACATGCTATTTACTTTTTCTTATCAGTGGAGTCATTACTAGAGAGTCAATTTTCCCAGGAGATAGAAAAGCAAAGAGTCGTGGTGGTCCAATGGCAGAGCTGAATTGAGGGAGGTGGGGAAAACTAATAGATCTAGATGATACAAATTTGCAAGAGGATATTGTTGGCAGCAGAGAAAAGAAGAGACAGGTGAGAAGTTGATATAGCGTGTGACCTTCATCAAAACAGTTTTACAGTCTGTGGTGGGGTTCTCTGGAGAGAGAAAGAGGCTGGTGGGAGCCTCGTGGCAATAGAATCTCTACTGATTTAGCAATATTCTGAATGGGCCAGGTTGTGTAGGGGCTGTAGCAGATGATAAACTTTTTTCAATCATGTCATATTTCAGTGACTTGACAATATATATACATATATATTTTCTAAACTAAATCATGTACTATGCAGTAAAGATAGATAAAAGGCCCCCAGCTCAGACCTTTACAGTGTTAATTTGCAATAATTTCTCTGTGAGTAATCAGTCACATAGCCATTTTTATCATCTGCTCAAAACCAGCAAACATGCCCATGTGCTTTTTAATTAATTAATTTCTTTATTTTTATCATCATAATCTTGTTTATATTACATTGAATCACCTATAACTTTACAGTGTATTACATTGCTTTTTCAAAAGGGAATACGATGCATGTCAGTCAATACAGAGACATTAATCTCCCCACTTCATCATTCAATATCTTTTCAATGTTTTTCCCAATCATCATCATTATTATTATTTTTTAAACAGTCAATCACTATTAATACCCATGTACTTTTCAGGTCAAGATGTACCCAATGGTATCCCTCATAGTGTTTCACACACAGTCTGGGCCTGATCCCAGGATGCAGATCACCTCCACATTAGCATTTTATTAACAAAATTGAATTTGATACATGAAAGCCCCCTATTAACAGATGGTCCCATTGCCTGCAAACAGTGCCTCTCCTGGAATATGGTTTCCTAGAAGAAGCAAAAGCTCAGTGGGCCATTGATTCTTTGTGGGCTCTTGAAGGTTTTGGACCTATGCATTCTGATCCCTTCTGACTGATACTATTATCAACATACCGCCTTCTCTGCCCCACTCATCTGTTTCACTGTAGATCCATACATCTAATACAATCAGAATGGAAGCAGGCTTTGTCTATGCTAGGTGTGTTTGTTCTTTTTTTTTTGGAGAGATTTTCACTGTAGGGCGCGTGCGCTTGCCAGACAGACAGAGAGAGACATAGAGACAGAAAGCGAGAAATCACCCCCCAGGGGGGATGGTCACGCCGCAATCCCTTCTCCTCCATTCTCCTCTCGGGATCTTGGGCACGCACGCACACGCGCCCGGCGTGAGTTTTAAGCCACCGGGTCCGGGACACGAACCGCGGTCGACTACGTGGGAGTCCAGCGACATAGCCATTACGCTAACTGCTGGTTCCCTGTTTGTTCTTTTCATTACCTCCTTTGCAGGTCCAGAGAGTTCCTAGGGATCAGAGACCCAGTGGCCACTCTTCCCTTCCCACCATGAACTGACACTTTTGCTCTCTCCCTGGTTTTCTTAAGACTATTTTCAATGACAAGAGAACTAGGTGAAATGGGGAGTACATTTTTAGAACACAGGTTATTAAAAACATAAGAAAACTTCTGTAATATTTTGAAATTTGACATAAGCAGACCACATTCTTTATTCCCATCATGAAACTTTGCTCAAGTTCCTTGGACTTTTAAATACCACAGATAAGCTTCAGTTTCTGGCTTGCAGGGAAGGGGCTCATGCAGAGTTCTGTGGAAACTCAAAGTGACACCTGTGCAGAAGCTGCCAGTAATTGTGGTATTTCAAACCCAGATTCCCTTCTTCTACCCTAATTAGCTGGATGCTAACCCTCTGCTTGCAGGATTTGACTTCAGAAAACCCAGCTTTAAATTCTGGCTTCAACTATTTTACTTGTGTGACCTTGGGTAAGTGAACTCATCTCTCTCAGTCTCTCTTCTCTCATTTGTAAAATCGGAATAAATACAATCTAGCCTCCTGTAGGTTTTGCGAGGCTCGCTGTTTTGTTTTGTTGTATTGTGGGCCATGCCCAGTGGGAGAGAAGTTTCCAGTATCTAAAATTACATTATTTGTCTACTTTTAAATTAAATATTTTATTAATTTCTGTTCCACAGGAAGTGGAACTTACAGTCTAATAAGAAGATGGACCATCAAAGCGACAATTCAGAAACAGTGCGAGAAATGTAAGGAGGTGTTAAAAGTGATTTAATAAATATGTATCTGGGAGCATTTAGTGAAGGCTGAGAGAGAGATGATGGAGGCAGAGGTAATGAATCAGGAAAAGCTATAACCAGAGATGCTTGATCTAAGGATAGGAAGTGAGGAGTCTTTGGTTAAGGAAAAGCTGAGGAAAGGAACAGCAATCTGAAGGGAAAGTGTGACTTTAGTCCCTTTAGCCTTATCCTTCAGGCTCACCGTGGAGTTGCAAATGCAAGACTTCTCTTTCTTTCTTTCTTCCTTCTTTCTTTCTTTCTTTCTTTCTTTCTCTCTCTCTCTCTCTCTTTCTTTATTTCATTCTTTCTTTCTTTCTTTTTTATGACTGGACAACATTCCATTGTATTTACATGTCACATTCTCTCTATCCACTCATCTATCCAAAGACTCAGAGAAATAGAGGGTAGAATGGTGTTTGCCAGGGACTGAGAATTTGGGGAAATCAGGACACTAGTCAAAAGGTACACAGTTTCAGTTGAGGTAAATGAGTTTTGAGGATCTAATGTACTGCTAGGTGACTATGATGAATAATTTTGTATTGTTTACTTGAAAATTGCTAGTAAGTAGATCTTAAGTCTTGACCTCCATTCCCCTAACCCACAAATCATCATTGTGTGTAGTGAAGAAAGTTTTAGTTGTGAATTAATTTGATTGCACTTTCCGTCATCATGCTGTACACCTTGAATGTATACAATTTTCATTTGTCAGTTATATCTAAATCAAACTGGAAAAAATAGAGCGTTTCTGTCTGAACAAACGTGTAGCAGTGTGGAGGTAACTGGGCATGACTGAAGTGTGTGAGGCGAGCATGGGCTGGTTTGGGTACAAAGGTATCAGACTTTTGATGTGACAAGGTTCTCCTCAAGAATGCCTCTCTTACCTAGCTTTCCTGAAATCACATGTCCCTCATCAGTTTCTAGCCATTTTCTTTGCTTCCTTTTCTTTAGAGCAATTTTTTCAAACTGAAATTACATTGTCTACTTTTAAATTTAACTTTTAATTTAAATGAAAAATCTTGTCCATTTCTTTTTAATAAAGTTTTGCTATAGGATGTGTGAACTTCTTGGAGAGAGACAGAAAGAAAGAGAAAAAAGAGGGAAAGTGAGAGCGCACCCACGGTGAATGGCCACACCATAATTGCTTCTTCTCTCGGGATTTTGGAAATGCATGCACACATCCTGTTATGTTTTTCATCCTCATGTGTTTTTCTAGGACTCAGATCACACATGTGAGAGCCAGCTATGTGAGATCCAGCTGCTTTAACAACCATGCCACTGATTGGCCCATCTTACCCATTTCTATATCCTCAGTGGTTGTACCTACAGTCGGTATAAAGTAGGCACAATAAATACTTGTTCAATGGATGAATGAACAACAAGGGAGTATTCTCATACAAAGGCAGTGTTTTTAGCAGCCTGCATCATAGACTCTAAGAGTTGCTATAAAACACATGGTTAAGGGAACCAGCAGTTAGCGTAATGGCTATGTCGCTGGACTCCCACGTAGTCGACCGCAGTTCGTGTCCCGGACCCGGTGGCTTAAAACTCACGCCGGGCGCGTGTGCGTGCGTGCCCAAGATCCCGAGAGGAGAATGGAGGAGAAGGGATTGCGGCGTGACCATCCCCCCTGGGGGGTGATTTCTCGCTTTCTGTCTCTATGTCTCTCTCTGTCTGTCTGGTGAGCGCACGCGCCCTACAGTGAAAATCTCTCCAAAAAACAAACAAACAAACAAAACAAACAAACAAGCAAAAAAAACCACATGGTTAATGACTTTGAGTCTACCATAAACAAGAAAGGAAGAGTTCACTTTGTTTTCAGCAAAGCTCTCTGAAGTTGGGAAACTGAACATGTTTCTCCTGTTCTTGGGGATGATAGAATGAATGCTTAGCCTCTTTGGTTTCTGTGATAAAGACAGACAGCAAAAGGTAATAGTCAACCCATAGAGTGCAGACATTCGGTATATGTTGTCTGCACTCTATGACTGAAACTGATTGACTAACGGTTGTACAAACACAAGAGATGGGTGTGAATGTCAGATGAGGTGTGTGTGGAGGAATGGGGCCTAACGAAAGACATTTGGAGAAGGGATATGGAGGTAGAGCATTGTCAGGGTGGGGAGGTGTGGTGTTATCGGTTGAAGATATTTGGATCAACAGGACTGGGGAGAAATGTTCACATATTGAAATGCTCACATTGTAAACTAAACAATGTGATTGAATGTATATACAAAAATATATTAATTAATTAAAAAAAGAAGTATTGGGAAAAAAATGAAAAAAAAAGTCAACCCATAGAACTGAAATAAGAGAAAGAAGAGATCTATACTCTATGTTTCTGTCACAGATCTGGAAGTTCTTTGTGACTGTGGAGGTAGGATAGAATCTGCTTTGAACATTTGGCATGTCCTTAGGCTTAACACCTCTCCATTGCCCTGCCATACTATTAAATTGCCATCACGTGTTAGATTAATGCAACTTAATGCAATGCATCTTAATTAAGCTCATTTCCACATTTATTTATGGTAGGTGCTACTGTTATATTTTATGTTTCCTTTCAGAAGGGATTCTCTGAAGGACTCAAGAGGCCATTCACATTCTATGACTCCTGAATGGCCAAGTAGTAATGGGATAAGAGAGGAAACATTTGACATCTTTATGACTCTAAGAAGTTGGCTGCAGATTCCTTCAGGAAGAACTATGTCAGATTCCAACTATACCTGCCTTTTGTGACAACCATATACCTGTAAGACCTGCTTGCTGAATCTCAGTTTTTCCACTGCCTTTGATTCAGATGCTAGAAATTCATTTTCTATGGTTCTAATGATCTTAAAGGTAGCTAATGGGCCCTAAGGCTGACTTCACTCCAGCATTCCTTCTGGCCAAATAGCTAAGGGCTTGTGGGTCAGTCTTAGCAGAAAAAGTTTGACAAGGGGATTAAGTACGGAGCTAGGTCAGGGTTAGGGGAACTAATAGGGGTTGTACACCCAAGGACTATAGCCCTCAAAGGATATTTGGCCTGCAGGCAAGGCAAGAGAACTCTAGTGTTACTGGACACTGGTAAGAACTGGAGGCTGAGAAGTTAGTTGTATTACAACACAAGGGCTAGGATTGAAGAGGAAAGAAGCTAAAGCCAGGACCAAGATGAAGTAAGGATGGAAATCCATGGAGGTAAATATAAACTTCAGTTTCTCTCTCTTCTTGCACTTTGCATTCCTG